GCATCGGTGAGCACAAGCCCTGAGACGAGCGCGTGGTGAACGAGTCGGTGGTGGACGCACTACCGAAGGGCTACAGCTGAACGGACGAGTAGTACGGTGGGCTGGGTTTTAAGGCGGCGTGCGGTGTCTGGCAGTAAAGACTCTGGACGGGGAATTCAACGTAGGGTAGGAGCTGCTGGCTTTGCTTCGGATCCAACTCAATGGCTATTGCTAACCACAACGTCTTCGGCCAAAATTTCGCGAGATGTGAAGCAATGAAGAAAGCGGTGTGGACGATGATCAGTTCAACCTATTCGCTTTGAGCGATGCGTCCGACGATATTACAGTCGTAGATGAGTAGACTTTGAGAATAGGCTCCGAAAATAGACTTCGATAATATTGCCCTCTACCTTAATAAAGACCTCTGGCTTGATACTATCAGTTGTGCCCGGGTTTTAATCGGGCTAAACCTTAAATATCACAAGTATGGCAGCAAGCTGCCAACATTCTCATGGCGATTGGTCGCCACGGTTGCTGAGGGGCCAATACTGAAAAATATAGTAAAAAAAAATATTTTCGGTACCGTCCCCAAACAGCATATGTAAACAGATAGGGTGAAATTCTCACTTTGAGAAGCGGTTGTGTCTTACGAGAACACCGACATTTCGCACTCTCGAGTGGTTCCTTGCGAAGAGGGTAAACATCTACAGCGAAAGTTCTTACTGTCCTTACACTCTAACAATCATGTCGTGTTACGTGGGGGCTGTATTCGTGGATCAGATGCCGAAAGAGACCTGTAAGAGAGCCCCATGTACTTCGTCCAGGAGCAATGCCAGTAGCCAGGACATTGCAGCAATGAGAGGACCTACAAGAAGAACGGAGAGCGACACTGTCTCTGCGCTAAGCATTGTGACCGTCAGAACGCTTTGCAGCGCGATCGCTACCGTCGGGTTGTCAGGAAGAAGGCGAAGAAGGACCCAATTGGGAGGGCGAAGTCGTCAAAGAAAACAGCGGAGATTAAGAGCGTGCCTGTATGGGAGAATTTGGAGTTGGCACCAATGTCACCTTCCACAAAAGAATCTTCTTCTGATCCCACCGTTCCAACGCGTTCGGCCAACAGCTCGAGATCTCCAAGTACTGGTGAGGTTGTACAGAGG